GCACTTCAGTTTTTAAATCAACCTTTTTTTCTTTTTTTTTTTTTTTTTTTTGAGTGAGGGAAGTTTTCCTCGGGAGCAGCTACTTGTGCAGTTCTGTGGCATTATCTTTGAAGGATGCTGCTATGGCAAGGCTAACCAACTATGAGAAACATCACCTGAATCCAGCAGGAAAACTCCTATACAAGCCTCTCGATGGGAGCAGCTTTCCACGTTGCTGCAGTCCACAGCAACAGAGGTGGAAGCAGAAAAGGCTGCTCAGAGAGAGGTGTCCTACCTTTGCAACCTGGCAGGCAGCTCCCTACCAGCACCCTCCCACGATAGTGCCCGGGGCTGCAATCGCAGCTAAGTCCCTCAACCAAGCCTCCCTCAGTCCCCCTCATGTCTTGCTGCTATCAGGGTAATCTCAGCAATGAGGAAGAGAGGTCCAGTTGAGAGGCAGCTGCTTGCTCCTGAAATCCTACCAAAAAAACCCCCAGTTTGACGTCCTGCCAACACAGCCCCCTTTACTCCACCATTCATCTCAATCTCTTCCCATGACATAGGCTGATCTTAGGGAAATGCAGCCAGGGGTATCCTGAAGGGCCTCTGACCACTGGCATTCCTATGGGAAAGGGAACTATTTGAATTAATCTGAAATTCCCCTCAAAACTCACAGTCATAGGTCCAAGCAAACTGTTGTAACAGAGTAAAAATGTACAGGTTGGTATGTCCATACACGTATGTGGGAGTGGAGAAAATTGTCTTTCGCGTCATTCTGACATACATGGAGATCACTCTGCTGAAATCCCTGGAAATTCCCTTTGTTAAAAAAAACAGTAGAAGGCTCAGGCCCAGTGTTTCTGTGAACACACCCCTAAGGCAGCACAGCTCATCAGGACTCTAGTGCCAACCTTTTATTGTGCACTTTCTCTTCCATTCAGTCCAAATATAATCTGGAAATCTCAAATGCTAGTTATCTCAGGGGAAGAAAAGAGAAATCAAGGTTAGTCCTTCACTGATGTTTGTCTAAAGAAAACCTGCAACACACGAAAACCCAAAAAAGACAATTAAAAAAATCAATGAAAGCTCTATTTAGTGTCAAGTGAGGAACTAATCATGAACCAAAAGAAACAATTTTATAAAAAAACATGACCTAGTACCTCTTAAAATCATTATTAAAAAGAAAGCTACATTCCTATCTGCCCCAAGATTTTTTTTCCCTTATTAAACACTGAACACATCTAAGACAGATGCATTTCCCCCCCACACCAGCACTGAGCACAGGGGATGGATGCTGTTTCTCAACAGACAACTTGTTGGTACCCTCTCACAGCCACTGCACCACTGGAATTCACCTGATGACACCAGAAACCAAACTCAGACATTAGACCAAATCTTTATTCTGTGGTCTACTTTTTCTCAGTTACAATGTTGTAAATCGAGGGTTTAAACTGATCCCAACCTGCTCGGAGGCACTGGAAGGCTCTGGATTAATATCAAGCACAGGCATCTACCTCCTGCTGTTTCTGTGTCTGTGGTATCAATAGTGATTTTGAAAATTATTATTTCCATACAGGCTATAATGACTTACAAGGAATAGTTACAGCCTGTTGTGCAAATGTGAACAACACTCGCTTTTTTAAAACGTGGATTTTTCATACGACAGGAACTAATGGCCCTTTCAGAGCAGTTATGGTCTATCTTGTCAATTTGGTTTCTATTCATGCATGCTAAGTGAATTTTTATAGCCAAACTAGGAGTCCTTAAAAATGAGCCTTATACTGGAAATGCAGATGTGACTTACTGTGAGTTGTGCTAGGAGAGCATCCCTGCCCCTGGGGAGCCAGAGCCAGTAATCAGAATTCCCTTTCCCTGTGCACATAACATGACTTGCAGGCACTCTTTCATCTGCACTGAGAGGCAGGAAGGAGAGGCAGAATTAGCCCCTCATTACAATAATGTTTCTCACACTTTCTCCAGCTACTCTCTGCAGGCATTAGTAGAGAGGCCCCGGCTGCCAGAATTGCTGAAAACCTACATCTCCAGTTAAAAGAAATCAGAGAGCAGGGTGCTCAGTGGCTCTGAAAAATCACAGCCACAGAGCTTTAAACAAATGCTTTTATGCCATTAAAAATATAAATATATAGACTCACCTTAACTTTACTCTCTACTGTGAGTGCTTTGTTGTGAAAGAAAATTGTATATTTTCCAGACTATCTGATTTCTCTTACGGCTTCACCACTATAAACTGTACTGCATATGTACATCAATATATTTACCTGCCTGCTTCACAGCTGGACAGAAAATGAAGCCATCTCAATCATCTTCACATTCAGCAGTAGAGAAAACTGAATTTTTCCCTCACTCGATGCCAATTAAAATGCAAAATGTGGATAATCTGATCTCCACTAAATATTCCAATCCCCTCCATAGCACAGGGTGGATATACTTCGGTACTCACTGGCAACCTGAACCTTTTCTAAGACTGGAAAAAGCAAGAGAATAGAGACTGTACAATCTTATTACTTATTTATTCAGAATGTTGTAGCCGTGCCTCCCTTCATCTCTTGGCTCCTTACCCAAAACCTGTGTAATGAGCAACATCACAGGACCTGACTACCAGCAGACGCGACACCTCCACTGAAATGAATGCATTTATACTGATTTATGGCAGCTGAGGAGCTGCCACAGCACATCCAGGGAATACCTATCTCTCCAGAAAAAAAGATACACCTCTGACAATGTGTTCCTGAGGTATTTCTCACAGATCCCATGCCTTAGTGGAGTAGGAGCCACCCCCCACCCCAGCTTCTAATCTTGTCTCCATTGCTGCACCGAGTGCCTGACCACCTTGTCCTCATCACAGAGGCTCTCCTCTGAAAAGGCATGGAGCCAAACCTGGCATGAACCGATCAGATATGTACAAAGGAAAATCTTGACAGCATCTGTGAACAGAGTTTAAGAGAAAGGAACAAAATAATACCACATATGTTAACAGATTGAAATGGTAGCTATGGTGACCACGGACAGACAAAGAACAAACCATTTTGACTGAATTCAGCGAATTCTTTCTGGCAACAAACTGCAAGTATAAAGCAAACTTTTAAAAATCCCTAATGAAATCATTATAACAAATCCATTTAGCTCTGTTTGGTGTGTTTGCTTTTTAAATTTCCATTGCAGCTATTACATTAAACCTATTAATCATTGATGTAGTCAAATAATTTCCACCAACTAAAAATAGGGATTTTCTCACTGTAAAAATAAATAAATAAATAAATAAATAAATTGCATTTTCAAGACAAAAAATTAAAAGCAAGGAATAGTTATTGTAAAATGGCAGGCATTCATAATTCAGAGCATTTTCTAGTACAGGAGAGAGTGTCTAGGTTTTGTAGAATAAAGGCTTGTTTATGAAAGTTGGATCACTTTCCCTATCCTGATATGCAGTGTAGCTATGGAAAATGACAGTCCTGTTTATTGTGTATCACAGTGTCAAACATCTCAGAGTCTCTTTCCTCCAGGGTGCCCATTTTTTTTCAGCCCTTTGGAGGAGCTGTCCCTCAGTGCTCTCCCATTGAGGGCTGGCCAGTTGTGCCAAGGGGAATTGGGCTGAGGACAACGTGGGGGAGCACAGAGCTGAGTTATCGAGGGGCAGAAAAGCTGCCTCCTTAGAACCAGCACTGGAGATAGCTGGGAGATGGGGAAGATTACTCCAGTGCCAGCACAGCATAAGGCTGCTCAAAATGCTGCACAGCTGCTTGCAAACTCCCACCCCAGGAGGCTTGCAGGGGCTGGAGGAGGCTCCACAGGGAATGTCACGATGGAGACTCCGGCATGTCACCTGCTGTGGAGCATCCCAGGCACACCTTGGTGGACACCCCACTGCCTGCTCTGTTTTAGTCTGGAGACTGATTCAACAACCAAAACAGATGATGCTGCCCCAGCACCCCATCCCTTCCCCCAGCTGCACTCGCTGGGTATAGTTTCACAGCACAACACAAAATCCTAATTCTAACCTGAAGTTAGAAGTCTTACTTCTAACCCGAAGAACTACTGTCATTTCCCTGTCTTGTTAATATTTAACTCAGTGTGTTTGGTCCTTTCTGCAGACTGTACAATTCCTAACAAGATGGATTTGCAATGTAGCCGTGTTTTGGATGCTCCAGGAGCAGTAACTTCAGATTTCTGCAGTGCACAGACACTCTCAACTCTACTCTCTCATTATCTGCACAAGTTAATTGTTCTTTAAAAAACAAAACAAACCAAAAAAAGCAAACTAGTAAGAAGTGCCCACCAGTCAAATGCCACTATCTGTTTGATGACTGAGGCTCTGGCTCAGCCTTCTGTCAATTAAATTAAGTTCCCAGCTATGCCATCGCTGCCTGCGTGACAAAAGGCACTTCACTGGCTGGCTCTGCTCTTCAGTTTCCTGTACACTAAAACGGGACCAAGTTTAAGGCCTTTCACTTCTGCCTAGCATGGCCCTTCCTTATATTCTCCACCCACACACTTCGCTTTTATTCTTGCCAGCACATAAGGCAGGTCCTCTGGGACTGTGCCTGGCTCTGTATGGGTCCCCTGAGAGCAGAGCTGAGCGAGGGTGAGCACATGTGCTCCCTGTCTTTTGTAAAGGGATAGCTAGAGGAATGAGCATTCAGTCCACACAGCCTCACCTGCTCAAGCTGTTTGCTTTAGCCGTGGCTCGAGTGTGGCAGGAGCGCACGGAGTGGGGGGGAAGAGGGGAAAAAATTAGTACCTTTTCTTTTGGTATTGCCTGGAAACAGTAAAGAACCAGTTACTTTGATTTTATGTGCAGTAAACCCTCACTAGATGGCTCCTTACAGCAAGTAAATATATTCCTCACAGAAAGAACACTGATGTGGCATAATCTGTGTGAGAGCCGAGGTAGTGTGATGCTAACGGGGCTTTATCGCTGGCTGAGCGTTTTCCATGGAAAAGCAGTGTCTGACATGGGGTGTGTGGGTGAATTATGACTTACGAATGGCATCACTCCACGAGTCATGAACTGTGAGTCACATGGGCACGGGTGTCTCAGGCACATCAGAAATGCCACTTGCCCTTTTCTGTAGGTTTTTATGTTAATCCGTTTCACATTCAACTTTCTAATTCAGAAAGCAGAACTGGGTTGCAGTCAAGGGTACCAGCAGAGGAGATCCTGAGGGGGAAAGCAGCAAAGGTATTAAGGCAGAAACCCCAAATGTCATGTAATAACTCCTAAAACAAAGAAGCGATGCTGGCTTCTGAAATGCCCCCCCCCATTACCATCACAAGAACATGTTATTTGTAATATGTGTATTGGCAGAATGTTCTGGGCAGAAGAGCAAAAAGAAATGAGCTGTCATCTGCAGTTAACCTCTCATTCATACATCACTGTGTGCACTCAGTGTTTCAAGGTTATGCAAGTTGATTGTGCCCTCATTAATGAGCAGTGTTAATTGGTGTCTATCCTGCTTTGAGATAAACATATGTATATTATGTGTTAAAAGTACTGCAGGCTGTGAAGGAGCTGTGTGATATACAAATATGTATGGGCCCTGCATAGAGAGCTACAGGGAGAAGTTGTGTTGTGAAATGCTAGGACTGATTTAAATCCACCGGTGATTTCAGTCTGGGCAGCCCATGTCCCCGTAAGCCAGCCTGGCGCTGGCTCAAGGGCCGGGTAACTTCTGCTGGCAGAGCTCTGACACCATCACTTGGCTCCCTGCTCTGGCTCTTGTTGCACCCCCGAGCACTCTGCCTACAGCCCACTTTTCAAGGTGAATTAGCAGTGATTTTAGTTTCCCTTAAACCCCCAGGCTGTAAGCTCTGGCCATCACAGCTCGCAGATGATTTAACTGCCGTGGGGTCAGGGCAAGCAGACACAGTGGAAGATATTGTCCATCCCCATATAAACTGCCCCTGCTCAGGAGTCAGTGGCAAGGGAGCTAGGTTGGCTGCTGGTCTGTCTGTCAGCAGCCCCAAAGGCTTTATTCAGCCTCTTTTCTCTCACTTTTCCCTCTGCACATGTGCTGGCATGGTGCTAACTTGGAATGAGCTCAAGTACACAGACTCATGAGCCTCACCTCTCCTCATGAGGGACAGAAATCAAGGTTTGACATGGTGGCAGACCTGAACATCATGAAAAGACCTTTTATTCTTTCCCTGAGAGCTACTGAAAATGAGCACAGATAAATACCCTGAACCAGGTCATAATCAACACACAACATTGATGTAAATATGTGGATTAGAGAATTATGACAATTACATTAAATAACCTCAAAAGAAGAGAGTCACATGTCTCATAAACAAGCACAAGCTATCCCAGACCAATGCAAGAATATACTAATAAAGTAATATTTGATCATCTAATTAATGGAGCTGTTATCTCCCCATACCAATGCAGGGCTTAGAGCTTTTAGGCTGTTAAATATTTTGTCTCAATGTTTAAAAGCAAGTAGCACCCAACAGACCTTTCCTTTTCTAAGTAGCATTCCCTTGAAATGTGGTTGTTTACTTCAGACCTCGAAGGCTGGATTAACAGCAGAGATTGTTTGCTTTAAATTATACACACAAATTTTGTTGTCGTTGCTTCTGCCACTAACAGGCTATTTAATAAGTGTCAAAGTGGCAAAGCTTACTGGCTGCAAAAGTGAAAGGGTCAAATCTGTGCATCCAGAAATAATACAGAGATTTTCCTCTCTTTTCATGAAATGTACTTGCAGCAGGCAGTGTTAAAGTGCTTCCAACTTTCATAGCAACTAGGAGAAGCAGCTCATGAGTCAGCCCAAGGAGGAAATATGTCATTAGCCAGAGAGTTTTCAACATATGCAAAACTGTTGACGTGTCTATGGCATCCAGGGAGGAATTTTTATAATATTGGTCGTAGTCAGCAGTTTATTGCCACAGTCGTGGGTGTGGGCAAGTGTCTCAATGGCTGAGGCTGTGATTGCCCCCAACACCACTGAGTGTTTCACACCATGGCTCTCATGCTCCTTCTTTTCAAGACAGGAAACAGACGAGACATATTTGGTTTTGGTAGCTGCGGGAAAGACCCGAGTGCTCATGGTTGTACCTTGAGTTCCTCTTCATCCTTCATATCGTGTTCACCGCGCCAAGGAAGGGGTAGGGCTCTTATCTCAGCTTTCTGCAGTTCCAGCCCTTCTGCAACTGAATGAAAACAAACAGAAAGAAAAAAAATAATCAGCTCTGTAGGTTTTCTTGCCTGTGTAAATTATGCATCACACTCATTATAGGAAAAAGGAAGACGCAGATTTGGAAATCAGTTGTGAGTTTCTCCATATTTCTTACAGTTATGCCAGTGTTACAGCTGCATACACAGGGGACTTTTCTTTTTTCATGCAGCTTTACACCAAAATAAAGGCCTCAGTTGTTCTAGTTGGTGATTAGGCTCAATATTATGCCTCTGGGAATGGGAGGCACGGGCACTCAGAGGAACAGAAAACTTAATGAGTTCTTTATATGAAGAAGAAAAAATTTTTCAAAATGTTTTCCAGAGCTCACAGGAGAGATTCAGAGGCTATTCCCTCTTCAGGAAGATGCAGCTCTTCCAGGTGAAAAAATTAACCCTCGTCTGCCCCCAGTAGCCCCTCACCGAAGGTTTCCTTGCCCTCCAAGCCCAAGCTGAGCTGTGGTGCACAAATTTTCTCACTGGATAAAATGCTGAGCCCTTTACTAGATCTTTTTACTAATATGGCTCATATTGGCATGTCTCCCTGCAGGACTTGGGATTCACAGTGGGATCACTCAGAAACCAATCTTTTGTTGCACAACAAGCTCCAGAAAGACAAGGAGCACAACCAGTGAATTTGCATACGCTTACCTTGGAGGGGAGCTTGCAAGTGGTTCATGAACCAAGCTTAGGACACCCCTATTTTGGGTAGGTTCCTGTGTCCAGGTCTGACCTGAGAACATCGCACCTCAAAATGGAAACTGCTGCACTGCGAGCTGAAAGGGCAGAGACCGTGTCCAGCAGGAGCAAAAGGGAAATGTTGTTATCTGAAAATATCTTTAGGTATTTGTAATTTTTATGGCTTTTGGTCTTTTTTTCAAGTTTGAATATTTTATGTAATGGAACAAATAAAACCAAAACCCAGCCTCAAGACTGCTTGCAGAGCAGCTGGGCAGTGGGCAGAGCATCAGTGAGGCCGGGCAGCGAATCCCCACTGTCACCCTGAGGCAGAGCCTCCTGCAGCTTCTGGGTCTGTGACACCAACCTGGAGAGAACACCACAGAGGCCACAAACTCTGACACCAGATGGCCCAGCACTGGAGCTGTGGGCCAACCTCAGCTCCCAGCAGTCCAGCTGGCAGCATGCCCTGCATCCCCAGACTCTGCCATCCCTGCTGCTGGGACACAGCACTTCCAGCACTGAGGCATCTTGTTGGATAGGGCCACCCAGGGGCACCTGTTGAAGATGACCCCACTGCCAGTTCTATCTACAGTAGGAGGTAAAGGCGTGATGCTAAAAGCTACCCACTGTCTTATTTTATCCCAGATCAGATGTCTCGAATTCAGTGAGCTGTGGTTGGTGCTTCCAAGTACACTGAAGCCTGCACATAAAAGAGGACAGGCAAAATAATAGTGTTGCAAAATGCTGAGAATAGTAGAAGTGGTCACCCTGTGTATCTGGGCTGCTAAGAAACCTCTTTTGATTAAATGAAACACAGAGCACAAGAAAAATTCTCACGTCATACATGATGGTGTCTCCTGGGCTGCCTTATGCTGAGATGAAAAAGAAAAAAATTACCCATGCAAAGCCTACATCATCCATAATCTGCAATGCATTTGGACAGAGGGGGCCATCCTTAACCCAAACCATGTGTGTCTGGCTTTAAAACCAGCATTAGCAGGGCTCAACCAGCCTCTGTGCCATCCTGCATGTCCTGGATTCAGCGCTTCTCTCTGGGATTCAGAATTTCTTTCCATGTTCACTGCTGAATCACTCTCACATCAGCAGCATCACCGTGGGCAGTGTTCCCTCTACAAGGCATGCAAGTGGCAAGAACCCCCCGCCCAGCACAAGATCTCTTTTAGTGTCAGACTTCTGCAGGGCCTTGTGCAACTTTTTTTTTTTTTAATCCCAAATTAAAACTTAAGCTTCAAAGGCGTAGGTCTAAGGGGGTCTCTTCATGCAGACACTGTATTTCCTGGAACAGATCCTTTAATTTTGTGGTGAGACGGAGTTGAAGACATTTGTATTCAAATCCTTATTTAGGCTCTAATGCTCTTTAGTATTGGATATAGGGATTTTAGACTGGAAATGGCACTCTTGACTTTACTATCACCCCAAACAGACAGACAATCAAATTTTAAGCTGCTATTTCTTTTCCAGCCTTCTTATGCCATTTCCAACACTCTCCCAGAAACTGTAATTATTCTGCCACATCTACTCTACTAATAAAATTTATTCTGCTCCGTGTTTTTCCCCCCTATTTTCTTCTTACGTCTTACACCATCAAATAAAATCAGGGTTTTCATTTGTATAGTGGTTATCAGCAGCTCAGCTTTTACTTACAGTTCTTTGAACAGGCTACAGGGATTCTAGATGGGTAGAAATGTGGGGTAATAACATATTATGTGGTGCAACCTCCAAGCATCACTTTGTATGGGATGTCCCGCAATGCCCTGTCCTTCTAGGAGGGTTTTAGTCCTCCAGTAGTGGTTTTAATAGTTTTGCTGGATGTTAAAAATAGATATGATCTAGCTGATGTTCTTGTCACTCATGACAGCTCACCTCACTGTTTGCAATCCTCTCTGAACACAACAGGGCTTCGTAATCTCCAGGGGCCCTTGTAGAACAGCCCTCACTTAGGGATCTCTCAGAGCTTTACAAGCTCATGTTTTGCTGTTGTGTGCCAGCTAAAAACCACAGAGATGTACATCACTGGGATAGTGCAGAGGCAAGGGCAGATGGGATCTACAGGTTCCAGTCCAGGTGCATGACCACATCCCTCTAAAACCACATCCACTGAAACTTCCCTTGAAGGATTGATTGCATTTAAATTCTCAACTACACACAAAAAGTATTATGAATATACACAAAAGATTTGTTTGAATCTCAGTTCGTTCCCAGATTTGCTCATCTTTTTGCTGGTGGCTTTAGGAGCAGCAGCTTTTGTAGCTGTCCAGCAAAGGATTCATTCTCGCGTACCTTCTGTGCAGGTGTGTCTGTGGTGTCCATAGGGTGCCGTGCACCCCCTCTGCTCCCAAGTGTGCAGGTTTTTTTCCTCAAATGTTCACACCTGAGCTGGGATGCACAGGCAGAACCTTCCACTCACAAACACTTAACTCCCAGGCCTGGGGCCCAGGAGAGTTTTGTTTCATAGGCTGATATTGCTCCTGCTCTTGAAAAAACCCCAACATCCCACATTAAGGACAAACTGGAAACTTGCTGTACGTTCCCTTCACAGAAAACAGGGACTCCAAAAAATTGGGGGGGGGGGGGGGGGGAGGCAGAAATCAAAGGTCATTCCCAAAAGGCAACAAGACAACATTCATTTATATAGTCTCACATTCCCTCACCTAAAGGTAATAACAACACCAAATAAATGGAATGGACACACCCGTTCATTGCTTTTAGATCTAGGGAATACTGCAAAGAAGTAGTTAGGAATATTATTTCATATTCTCAGCATGTGGATGCACATTGCTTTGGGAGCAGCTTTCCATGAGCACTCCAGCTAACAAGCTTGCTGCAGAACTATCTTTGAGCAGCAAATTTTTAAAAGAAGCCCTAGAAAATATTCCCCAGAAGACAATTTGGAATAACTAATCATAAAAAACTTTACACTGGACACCTAATTTAGGAGCTCTGATCATCCTTTCAGCAGCTAGAAATATAACACTTCATCTGCTTGTCCAGTCAGAGCAGATGTGTGTGACTCACAGCCACCCGCTCGGGAAGTTATCGCTCCCTGAAAGTCGGAGCTGGATCGCAGAAAAATCATAAGTGAGAAAGAGTGTGTGTGTGTCAGGGGGTTCCCCTGAGTACATTATTTACTGTGAATTACTTAGACAGCCCTAGATTTTATTTGATAATTTTTCCCTTGATGTGTCCCATATAAAGGAAATGATAGCATTAACCAAAGCTAATCCATGGCACGGCTGGGAAGGGGATTATTTTGCCAATGATTAGTTTCTTTAAACGTGGAATTGTGATCAAAGCAATATGGTTCTGATTTTTTCTGTATTTTTTAGCTTTGTAGTATGGTTCTTCTTAATAGTAAGTTACTGCTATAAGCATGCTGTGAATTTCCAATATAGCAAAGCTTTAATAATTTGCAGCCATAATTGTTCCTGCTTCAGTCTCCAATTCAATTTGGTGTGGAATTCCCATCTCCCAACACAAAGCTTGACTCAACGGTATCTGTGCGAGACAGACTATGAAACTAGTCTGGTATAATGGACTTCATTAAAGGATAGGCAAATTATTTTCATCTGTAATCTATTTTAAATGGAAAAAAAGGGCTTTTGAATAAATATTTTTCCTTCAAAAGTTATTAATTTCTGTGGGAAAAGAGGGATGGTTATTGTTGCTAATTTTTTTCCTTTGTTTTCATAAAGGGTTTGAAAATTATTTTCTGGTAGAGTTATTTCTTTGGTTGAAAAAACAAATATTTAAGCCAGGAATGGAAACAACATCTTTTTATTTTCCTGAAGAGTCAAACTGTGCAAGGAGCTTTCACTTTTTTGCCTGCCCATCCTCTTCTGATGATAAAATCCGAGCTTGTGGGCTGACATGATGAGCACCACCCACCTCCAGACCTTGGTGGCCATTCCTCTGCCTACGTGCAGATTTGGTTGCCTCAAACCATTTTTCAGTCAAGCCTGAAAGTAGCGAGCTATGCAATGTTAGCACAGATATCTGTTTTTAAGAGGCAGCCTGCACTGGCACAAGACCATTAACCCTAACATGAACATGCACAGTCTAATAACAGGTTGGTGGAGAGTCTTATTCAGGCCCTGCACATGGCAGTAAATTACTCCCTTGATGAATAAAAGCCATTACTTAGTATTTAGCATCGTAGCAAGAAGCCTCTTCGGCCTGTTCCTAACAGAGATGTTACAGTTAATTTAGTGTAAAATTATCACCTGCTGTACAATAAAACAACAAACTGCAGTCAAATAATCTCTTAATAAATGAAAATGTGTAATAAACTGTGTCAGCACCGCAGAGACTTGGCAAGGCTGAATACCCTAAAGGTATCAATCCAAACAAATTCACCATACAATATATGGCCTGTGTCATTTCTGGTTCTTATCAGAGATGATTCATCTGGGAATCCTTGGCTCTGAGTTTTACCTCTAAAGGCCAGGCAGTTATTACAATGATATAATTTCTGCCACATTAATTAAATATAATACCTGAAAGCCCCTTTATAGGGATCTATAAATTTGTTGTAAACACATGCTGTGGATGAGCATATGTAATCTACCAAATGTAATAAACATTCAGTCAACTTCCTCTCCTTGCAGAGCAGAGAGAGGTCAAATGATCACCGTGCCAAAAAAAACCAGACACCCAAAGGTATGCCTAAGCTTTCTTCTGTCACTCATTATGACAAATACATATATACACATATATAAATACATATATACACAGACAGAGACCCATGTCTGACAGAGAGGAGAAGGCAGAGGGAGCATGAGTCTGGGGAGCATGAGTCTGTGGCAGCAGCCAGGAGGACATGTGGCTGCTCTTGCTGGCCGCAGGCTGTCAGCTCCAACATTGGTGTACAGGGATAATAAAGCCCCCCCCAAGTCACTGCAGTTCAGCACAGTCCTTCTGCTGGCCTCTTCCGACTGCAGGAGAGCCGTGGATATGTTATGTGTTGCTAAAAATCTATCTTTGCTGGGGATTCAAATGCTCCATTTACCCAGTCTAAAACAAAAATCAAAACAAAACAAAACCAAAAAAACCCAAACAAACAACAAAAAACTCCACACACACAGGAAAGGAAAGCCAAGGGAACAAGAGCTGGGCAACACTTTTTGCAGTCAACCAGGCCCAGACTTTGAGCAGCTTGTCTGAGATCCAGGCTGAGCAGCATCAACAGACTTTCTGATGCATCACATGAGAAAGCTGAGGAAGAGCTTCCCCATTCCCTTGCTGCACTGGGAAGAGGAAAGCAGAGTGCTCAGCA